CTGAACTCACAGTTCGTTAGAAGTGGGACTCAGGCGGTGCCACCTTTGGCCCAGTGTTACTTTGGCAGAGTGAGTAGCATCTATTAGCTGACTTCCCGTAAGGGTAGCTTTTTCTCTAAGCAGAGAGCACAAAGACCCTCAGTCTTCTTTTTTTTTTTTTTTTTTTGGTACTGGGACTCAAATTCAGGACCTTGCGCTTGCCAGGCAGGGGCTTGTCCCGCTGAGCTATCTCCCCGGCCCAACCCCCCTTCAGTCTTTATTCACACTGATAGTGTGGCTGTGGGAAGCTTACTTTAGATGGGATGTTTTAATCTCATCTATGACTCACTGGATACATAATATGTTTTCTGTACAGATGAAAAGGAGACATGGGTCGAAGGAACATTGAATATTTCTCTAATGCCAGCCACCCGCTATTAGTTGTGGAAATGAAGTGCTCATTAGTAAAGTGGACTGCAGCCATCTTGATTCTGCTAGGCACCATATTAGCTCTAAGAAAAGTCAGATTTTGTTACTGTTATTGTAGTAATTGATTTCTGATATGTCTCTTCTCTACTTAGTTTTTCATCTAAATGGTGTTTTGGTTTCTTGTGACAGGGTCTCCCTATGTAGTTCAGGCTGACTTAAACTACTAGATAGCCCATGCTTACCTCAAACTAATAGTGCTCCTCCTGCCTCAGCCTCTCGAGGGCTGATATTACAGGCATGAGTCATCATGCTTGGCCTACATCTATTTTATTGAGATGTAAAGTGTTACAACCTATTAAAGTAATTGGGAGACTTCTCTCAAGAGCTTTTATATATATGTATATACATATATCCTGGCATATAAAAAGAAAAGTAGAAAATAAAATTCCGTAATGGCTAATCTAGGAAAAATAAAATGAAAACCAGATAAAAACATACCTACTTGCTTACCTGAATGCTTATGGATCAGCCACAATGGACATTAATCAGAAGAGTGGATATGTTTCAGTATGCTTAGTTACTCAGTACGTTAACCAGAACTTTAAGGTTGGAACTCACAGTTCTTATTTTGGGTATTGTAGTTTTTGTTTTCTTTAGTTATTGGATAGAGGAATAGCATATATTTACTTATTGGGTCATTGTTTAAGTTGTGTGAGATTCTTAAAGTTAAAAGATTATTATGATACAGCCCAAATTAACAGGCTAGACTTTTAAGTAAGAGCTGATCTGACAATGTGTTAAGTTGCATAAGTCACTAACATAGGACATCAGAGCTATATGACTTTTATTAACCAGGGGGCTAAGCAGTTTTTATAGTCCTATTTTAAGCAGTTGCAAAGCTATTCAATTTTATGGGTTTATGTTAAACAGTTGGTTAAGTACTGGACCACAAACAATTATTCACACTTCATATTAGAATACTGTGAAATAATCTTTTTTTTTTTAATTCATGCAAAATTGCCATATGCTCTAGGATAGCTAAAAGTCAATAATGTTTGTGTAGTGACCTTATATTCAATGTTAGGTGTTACCTGAAATGCTCATTTTTTCAGTATGTGACATTTTAAAACAAGTCACCATTTCTAACGTTTTCCGTATATGGCTGCCCAAAAAATAAGACATGATCCCAGTAGAAATTTATTTTGCACTATTTGGCTTCATCAGACTTGGCACAGCTCCCTGAGTGATGACCAGAGGGGCTTGGCCGGGGATGTATCCCAACACCATGTGGCCAGACTGCAATACCTGATGAAATCTGCCCTTTGCCCTGGATCTGAAGCTAGAGAAGGGTAGATTCTGACAGTCACCAATAACATTCACGAAAGTCTTTCTAAACCCTTTTCTAAATCATGATTTAAGAGTCAAGATAACATCACCACAAGAGAGCCAGAGTCTCCAAATCTTCACAACTGTAAGTACTATTTCATGATCACCTGCTTTCTACTGCACAGGTGGCCCTGTGCATGGGTCATGTGAATTGCAAGGTGGAGGATTCTCTGATTATTATATAACAGAATGCATGAAGTCACCGAAACAAAATTTATCACTAGAATAAATTAGACACCATATCACATATTATTTTGGTAATATTAATCTTATCTGAAACAAATACATGGCATACATGAGAGTATAATAGAGAAAAGCAAACCTCAACGGACAGGTAGTGCTGTGAGGACCACCAGTCTTTCCTATGCTGAGGCTACTCAGAGCCCACACAAGTGAACACATGAAGATAATTCAGTTTCATCTTTCATTTATTTCCCTCTACACTTCTGCTCAATCATCTTGAAAGCAATTATGTTAAATTTAGAAAACCTTAAGTCCTGTGTTGTAATAGTTACTGGCCTGTTCCCTGTAGGTCCTACAGAGTTCAAAGTGCTTTCAATTCTGCTTCTTAATCATGGAGAGAAAGTGCCCTCTTAATCACAGCGACAAAGTGCCTTCGCTACAAGCATTTGCTAACCCTGGTAGACCTGTCTCATAAGTTTTCAGTTCTTGGGAATTATTCTACAACTATAGGGCAGCAGAAGGACTCACACTTGTATTGAATTTTCCACTTATGTAGTACTTTAAGCATCCCTAAAAATAATTTATCATCATTTATGACTGGTTAATAAAAGTCATATAGCTCTGATGTCCTCCTCCTTTTTTTTCTTTGTATAAAAATAATTTATAGTTTGATGTTGGAACTGTGGTTTGACAAGAGCTGTAAGGTGTTTTATCAGCCTGACATTTGAAGTACTGGTTTGGTAAGAACAGTAAGTAATTTCCATCAAATTAGATGACACATGAAGCTGACATACTAGTTTGGTAGAGATTTTTCATGTTTCGTGATGTGATTTAAAATTCTAGAACCTTCTAATCTAAAATGTAAATTACGTATTCAGTTTTAAATAGTCATGGGGTGGTTTGTGTTCCATGAGTACAAATCAGTGCTAAGATAATATGTGTTAACACCTGGTGTTTTGTCCAAGGCAAAGTTGTGATTCATTCAGCAGACCTGACTCTGCACTTTCCCCCCTGGCCAGTGTGATCAGCTCCAAGGAAGAGCTAGGAGCACAGCTTCCTGGAGCTTAGGAAAGGTGAAGCAGAAAGAAAAACAAAAATATGGTGTGTGAGTCGCAGAGCTGGCTCTCTGGCATGGGTGAGAGCCCTTTGCACACATCTTCTCCAACTGCATGCTGACACCCACCCTGGCACACCGAGATATCTCTACGGGCAGCCCGTTGGCCCGACCCTCCCTCCCCGACTCAGCGCACTGCCTGGAAGCCTGTTGTTAAGTGTTTCCTAGCAACAATGACAGAGTTCTGGAAGGGAGGCAGAGAGAACCGGGAGATGATGAAGAGAAGGAGATCGCCCCTGCCTAGGCTCTTTAGTGAGGTGAGGAGCAAGGTGACTTACGAAAACAGACATTTCCAAGAAGTCTGCATTGGTCCATTTGGGGAGTAGCCCGGTTGTGGGTTTTAGAAACTCAGTAGGTGACATTAGTTATTCTGTGTGAACTGGTTTCTGATCCACTAGCTCTCTGCCAAGCCTTCACCTGATCAGTCTTCACCAGCAGACTCTGCTGCTACTTCCTAGGCAGGGAGTGTGGGCTGAGCTCTGGGCAGACAGCCCTCCGGCCACCCTCAGCTCTCCTCATAATCTCAGTCAGGAATTTGGAGAGGTAGCGATGACAAGACAGAAAAGGCAGTACGAGGAAAGTGGAAAATGCACTGCCAGGGTCACTTGGCTCCCACAAGAAAACTTCAGAAAGTGGGTCAAAGACCAGAGGTCAGAGGAAAGCAGCTGCCGAAGAGGAATGGCAGAACCAGGCCTGCTCACATCACAACTTCTCCTCCTCCTTCTTTTTTTTCTTTGATTTATTGTTTTTCTAAGGCAGGCTCTCATTACAGTCCAAGCTGGCCTTGAACTCATAGCCATCCTCCTGTCTCAGCCTCCCCAGCCCTGGGGTTACAGTCATGTGCCACCACACCCAGCTGTGCTCAGGACTTCTAATACACTACCAAGAGAGGATGCTGATCTAATCCGTGTGGTCCCTTGGACCTTTGGCTTATCTTTCAGAAAATTAACCATGCATGGGCCTGAAATTTAGTGTGAATTTTGAAGAGATTTCCTTCAGATCAATTGAAAACATCCTATCCATACTAATTAGACATTATAACTAGTTTTCATCATTTACAATTTTTCAAACTTGTATCCCACTGAAGCAAATTTTATAGTACTAATTACCAATCTCTTACTCTCCCCTTGCAAAGGGCCATAATTAATTCCTGGCAGCTTTTTTTCCCTAGATTTTCTACCCTTTAAAAATGTTTCCATTACTGGATCCATGAATGGTTTTATTAATTGTGCTGTTATTGATTTTTTTGTTCCTGAGGGATATCAGTAGACTTTATTAATAATGGTTAATATTCCACTTTGCCCACAATCCATAGACAGAGATTAAAGACCAAGTGATATTTTCTAACACTGCATTATGGGTTTTCATTTCATCATAGAGTCAGAGTGATTTGGCAGCAAAATTTCGGGGAAGACCTTGAGAATGCAACAGCAAGAAAAATAAAGATTGATTGTCATACTCGAAACGTGCTTATAAAATATGCCTTGTTATTCTGGTAAATAGCAGCATCATACTCAAATCATCCTCTTTTCAACTATTTGAATTTTTAAAATTAGGCCAACAGATTCAGTACAAATAGTTCAACCAGATAGGAAACCAGAAGGTGAGGAAATAGGGTCCCTGGCATCAGTTGCTGACGTGTTATTTAAATATATTTCCTTTTTTAAAAAGCCAAAGTTCAACATCAGTTTTAAATATGAGGAAAACAACACCCAGCCCTCTCTTGCTCAAGACACAAACAAGATGGACAGGGGTCAGTCTGGCAGGAAGGAGGGGCTCAGGGTGAGAAGAGGGTGAGGGCCGCCATGTGGGCAGCAGAGGTGCTGGACGCTAGCCAGGCCCAGCGAGCAAGGGCAAGGTGTGCTGCACCTGCCGGGATGGACAGAGGCGGAAAACTTTCTGATCCTACCTGAAGTGCAAGTCTTTGAAGGAGAACTGAGTCTCAATGATTCCGGTCGTCTTCACTCGCGAATGCAGAACGTCCTGCTCATTTGGCACATACCCGGGAGCTGCTATTCTGTCTATATCATTAAGGTAGCTGAGAAACACAGAAGAATGTAGATACGTAACTGAGCCTTGGGAGACACCAGGATTCAGTGCAAGCAAACTTTTAGTTTAGAGTCTATTGAAAAAGATAAACTCTCCAGGTATGGTGACACACACGTAATCCCAGCCCTTGGGAGGCTGAGGCAGGAGGATGCTGCAAGTTCAAGCCAGCCTGAGCTACAAAGTGAGTTGAAGGCCAGCCTGAACTGCACAGCAAGACCTTGTTGCAAAAAGAGCAAAAGAAAAAAAAAAAAGGTAAACTCCAGACCAGTGCAATTCATACAGCTCTCAGACTGGGGAGAGTTTGGTAACCGGGATTTTGCAATAGACAGAGCACAAGTGAGGCTCGGCCCAAACTCTGAGGCCTGTTTCCAAGGAGTGGGACCCGTGCCGCCTTAGCCAGAATGTTGGGAGGTGCATGTGATATGTGTGCTAGCATGTACATAGCAGCAGGACAGGAAATGTCTCCATGTGGCCTGGAACACATACATATGGAAACCAAAATGTAGGTCCCACGTTTCCGGTGCATACATGCAAATATCTATGGACCATCTGGTCATGCTCGTCATGATGGTCTCTGGATGATCCTCAGCATTCTGTCATTTTAATTTAGCTATTTCGTATTTTAAGAGGGGGATTGGCTTTAAAATCAAAACCTGAAAGTTGTAAATTTTGCAGAAGTCTCATAATTTAGGACTCAGGACCGTGCTGACATGCAGGCAGCTCAATGAGAAAAGGACTCGGTCTCTCTGGTTGGTGCACAGTGGACCTAACTTGTGACAGCACAGCCCTCCTGAGAGAGTGCTTCTGGGTCAGAGGCTGCAAACACTGCATCCACCCGACCCAGCTCTGCGGTGGTCTTAGCCCTTCTGGAAGACAGGTCACCGGTCCTCATCTCATCGGGCTGAATACTGACACCTGTGTCCCTGTGGGACCCAAGATGGTGATGAGCAGGAATACGGCCGAGGAAGTTGTGTTCTCTATGAAGGTCTGTTAGATCGATGGAAGGAAACTCCTACTGGCTTCTCCGTTCCTGAAACCAAATATGTCTATCACCCGAAAACCACGTGTTTTATTGCTGAATTTTCTTTGAACACCACGGTTCTAGACTTTTGTCACTAAAACATTAGTAGCCTAGCATTATGGCTATTTCTGTAAAATAAATAAATATAAGTAACAGTAGCATTTTAATTTTTTATGACAAATTTCACCATTACATGACCCAGGCTTCCATAATTTTAAAAAAAAAAAGGATTGGTGAAGATCCACTGAAACAGAATTGAAAAGTCAGCCGAATAGTAGTTGTTGCTCAAAAGTTGACTTTTTTTAGAATTTAAATTGAGGGACTATTGGAACTTAACAGCTAGAATAATGTCTTAAAAAAACAAAGCTATTTTACCATTAAAAAATTAATTCAAGAGCAGTATGGTAATCTATTCTTCAAGGATCTTTTCACTTTTAACCTGAAACAAGCTAAGAATGGGAAGTCATCCAGAGGGATTTTGGTTAAGGGCAAAATAATAAATAAAAATAAAATAAAATAAAATAAATCATATCTTAGAAACATTAAAATGTAAAAAAAAATCACCATTGTGTTATTCTAATGAAGATTCTTTCTTTAAAAAAGAATGATACATTAATATTTAAATGTACCAGAGAAAGTACTGGCTACAGTTTGCTAGTTTTCAAATTTATTTTCTATTTGAGGAAGCAAAGCTCTGTGAGTTTTTCATTGACTTAAGTCTGCATACACTGTAAGTATATCATTGGTCAGTAAATTCATGCCTGAGTAAAATATAAATAAAATTGCCTATCAAAATAGAAATGAGATCCATTTTAATGATAGGTAAATGAAAGCTTTGGTAGACATACATTTTGATGAAATTTTATTTGTGTGTACAAATGATTTTAGGCAAAGCAGAGGCATTCAAAATGCTTATTTTAATAAACAAATGTCACATTTGGGTGTTCAAAACTGTAGTCCCAATTTAGACCATAGACCATTAATATATATATGGTTTAATTCACTTAAAAATAATTGATCCTTTTATCAATTATAAAAAAACCCAGTATTTCGCCTGGTAAAAGTCCACGTTAATTCCTAAAGCACATGGAATTTAAATGGCACAGTAAATAGCCCCCTCCACTGAACCTGCAAACTTACCTAACCCCTTTCTCCCGCCAGACCCTGGCAGCTTCTCCCTCTGCTGGGGCTGAAGGATTCTTTATGTCATCAATCACCATATTTCTTTCGTTCACTCTTATTAGATGCAATTTTTTGTTAGCCTCAACTTGAAAGTTCTCCAGATTAAATAACAAATACTTCACTTTCATACATACATATATATATATATATATATATATATATATATGCATACATGCTTATCTACAAATGCTGGAGACCTTTCCCATATAATGTATATGAAATATGCATGCTATATGCTGTCAATCTAATTTTATATTAGGTTTATAATATGAATGTAGTTCAGTATTTGTTTTAGGGAAAAAAATCTGTTCTTAATTTTTGGGAGAAAGCAAGACCCACTCGAGAACTTTCCTTAGCAAGCTTTTATATCACTTGTCCATAAGGACACTTTTAAGCAGAGGAAAAGTTAATATTTTAATCTTTTGGTTTATCTATAAAATATTTCTGAGTCTCTCTCAGAAGGTGGGAATCAGCTCTTCTGTTATTTTATTGTTATGTAGATTTTTGGATGGTCAACAACTATCATGGTATAAAATCAATGCAAATTGCATTTTTTTTCTTCCGGTACCAGGAATTGAACTCATGACCTTGTGCCTGCCAGGCAGGCGCTATGCTGCTGAGCTAAATCTCCAGCCCCTAAAATCAATGCAATTTGGTGTTTCATTGTATTTAACTTGAGATACAGGTAAATATTTTAATGTAATTCTGTAATTGTGTAGAAAAACTTATTTTATGGAAACAAATGAATAACTTTAAAGAAGTATAATGAAATGCCACTTTAGTTGCCAATTTTATCTATGTAAGCCGCAAGTAGCTTTTTCCTATTAACAAATAAATAAGGTGGTCAACCCAATTACAAATTCATTTCTTCTAATATGATAAAGGAAAACTAATGGTTAATCAATGTCATGCACCCAAAGCTAGATAATTAATTATAGCTCATCCATACCTGTCTTTTCCTATCTCTGTCCTGAGACTTTGCTAACATGGGACTATCCCATTAATTAGGGTTAAGTCACTGAGATATCTTTTACCAGTGATGAGTGAGGAGGGCGTATTTTTAGCACCTTACCCAGTGAGGTCCCTTTACTACTAAAATGCAGCAGACACTGAGACACTCAGGAGAGCTATTAATGAATGTATGAAATCACAAAATAGTGCCCATCTAGCACTGTCCCCTGAAGGGAATGTGCCCACTGGAATTCAGGGTCCAGGAGGATAAATGACAGAGCAATCCCTGAAGACAGCTTTTTCCCCTAGAATGAAGACGACTGGTTTTCTTTCCAGAGTCATTCTGCCCATTGCTGATTAAATATCCGAAGTATCTCACAAGCTTTGCTGTTGTGTCCTCAAACAGTCTCTTCTGTAATTCACTTTTATGTTACTTTTTGTTGTTATTTTCATTTCATTTGCTTAATTAAGTACTTCTAGCATATTCTGTTGCAGACTTATCAAAGAATTATATTTAAATTTTTTATACCTTCATATACAAAGATAAAAACATAAAATGAGTACATAGGTTATAGTTTCATTCCTGTGTGCTTACAGGGATATACTAATGTGATAGGTTAGGAATGACTTGCTCAAAGAAAACTTTAAGTCACGTTGATAATGAAATTATAAGTAGCATCACACCTCCTTATTAGCCATCCCTTTTGGCTAATAAACACTAGAGGATATTGGCCGTGAGAGCTATGTCATTGTTCTCCAGACTCTCAAACAACCCAACAGCGCATAATTGTTTTGGAAATTAATAATTATTTTCATCCAGAATTGTGTATCTTGCTCATCAACCCGTGAGCTAAAGCATGTGTCACAAATGAAATTATTCTAAGAGATAACTTCGGTAACATCAATATAGATGAAATAAGTAGCTCCAAGCCTCCATCTAAATGGGGCCAGTCTGTGTTAATGTTGAGTCCTGTGCATAATACTCAATTCTTTCTCATCAAGAGAAGATACGCACCACATAGGAATCATGTAGCGCAAATAGTCTTACAATCAGTTATTTTAAACACTGGATAATTTCTGCATGTGACTTATGTCATCTTGTCCGTTTTTACTTATCTACAATGTCCCCTACTCCCCTCATGTATGTCCACATGTGTGTCCTAGGCAGAATTTCAGCTCTTCATGACCAGTATGTCAGCTGCAGTTGCCTTGAAACGAGTCACTTACTAAGCCGCTGAGTCGTTGAGCTGGTATTCAGACGCTCTCTCGAAGCAGGCTTGGATCCCCGGGTCCTGCCACAGTCGTTTGATCACCTCAGCCAGCTGGGGCGTCATGACCCCGTCCTCCAGGGTCTCTGCCGCCGAGCAGAGCTGCTGTTGGTCCTCCTGGATTGGTGAGAAGGATAAGGCGTGTTACAGGGAGTCACATACTGTACTGCTTTTATTCAAACCTTTTCGCTTGATCAACTTTGTTGTTCCCTTTGCTGCAGTTCCACGGAACGTGTTTTGTTTTGTTTCATGTTTTTGGTACCTGGAATCAAACTCAGGACCTTGCGCTCCGCGGAACATGTTTTCAAAACACGTTAACATCGATAGAACTCAAATTCCTTAAAGTTCTCCTTTTGCAAAGACTATAAAATGTTACATGGAGAAATTAGGATATCTAACTTGTCTATACTCTGACTTCTCAATATGATGTCAGAAAGGGCAGCAATTCCTGGGTACATGTCCGTTTAGCCCTCAGGAGGGGGGAATGTCAGGCTCAAGAAGTAATGAAACCAAGCTAATGACAGTTTGTCTTCCTCAGATAATAGCCTCATATGTTTTGATGTTATTAGCACATTCACATTCCTGTGGGGACTTGGGACCCGTACCTAACACGTCTTAATGCCTTCCTTTTCACCCCCTCGCCCTCCCTCCCTCCCCTCTGCCCATCTCTGGAAAGGCAGGGGCCTTTCTTCTTTACTTGTGTGCAGTACCTAATGCTCAAGCTCTTTGTGTGGAGCTGGCCCTCATACACAGCACATCGCAATTCCTTTTCTCATCCCCTCTCCTTCCCCTCCCCGCTTCTCCTTCCATCTCTTGGTCCTTTTGCTCCCCTTACTTCTTATTATTGATCTCTTCTTTTGCACTATATACTTGGAGATTCTCATATAAGAGAAACATGTCATCTTTAATCTCACGTGTCTGACTTATTTCATTTAAATTTATGGTCTCAAGGTGCATCCATCTTCCTACAAATGGCTGAATTTTGTCCTTCTTTATGGCACAATAGTACTCCACTGTGTGTAAACACATTTTCTCTATCCATTCATCTGTTGATGGATATGTAGGCTGCTTCCAGGATTTAGGTGTTATGAACTGTGCTGCTATGTGGCCATATTTTTTGGATAAAAAAGAACCAAGTAAGAATAAGAGTAAAATGGGGAGTAAATTCACTATAGTAAATTTGTATTCACAAACTAATATACAATTTTACTAGCCATTGGGTACTCTTTGTGATCATGTAAGTTAGCAATAGTAAACATTTAGAACCACGGAGTGTTTGGACATCCCTGTAGGTCCTGATTGCTGTTTTTGGAGCAAATCAGTAGGGCAGAGGTGAGATTAGGAAACAAAAAAGAAAAGCAAGGATTATATTAGCTCTAGTAATACAATATTTGGAGGTTACAAGGAGAAACGCAGTAGAGAAGTTTACTGAGTAAACACATTCAATTTGCACAACTTCTAGTAGTCTATAATTTTTTTAGGCTAGAAATCAAAACGTCATGATAAAAATGTTTTATTTTTTTTGAAGATTAAGAATTTGAGTCTGCAGGTGGACAAACTGACCACAGTAATGGTCCAGGGGGCTGGAGCCCTCTAAGTGTACTTCCTGGCTGGCAGACTCCAAACTCCTGTCCTGTCCTGATCCTGCCAGTGAACACGGCAACAACCATTGATAAGACTCCACGCACCATGCCTTCCATGACTGTCCAAATTATAACAGTGAAGTAGACGCTGTATTTTCTCCATTTGCATTTGGGGGAATCTAAGTTTCAAAGGTTATTTTGCCAACTGGTAATATAAGCACCAGAAGAAGAGTCAAACCCAAACCCATTTTGTGTAGTCAGGCTGCAAGAAAAAATGTTTATTCAGTGAGAATCTGCTGCTTTGGGTTATAATTCAATTTATGATCCTAAACTGACTGTAGATTTACTTCACTGTTTTCTCTAAAACTGTTCTTTGCGTTAAAGGGTATATGTATATCTGCGTTGCTAATAACTTTGGTAAGACAAGATCCCTTATTTCATTTTTCTTCAAAATCAAGTTTTTGGTTAAAATCAAACCAATCAGATGATCACTGAAAGAACTGTGAAAGCCAAAAGCAACGCTTGTCCCCACGCTCTTGCAGAACACGGGATAAAATTTTAAAACCCTCCTTCTCTGCTAGATAGATGTAAACGAGAACTGCGCATCCAGCGGAATCTGACCTGCTCACCGGGCAGGCCACCTCCCCTTTGGCCTGCCTTCCACTCAAGTGCCTTTCAGGACTCGTGAGAGAATCTAGCAACCGCTCACACGGTGCTATCCCTACAAGGAAGGAATCGGATGCATTGGCAGCACACCGTCAGGAGCCACACTCATCTGCTCTGTCCTTTCCGTAGAAAGGTGTCTTTTTGAGATGTGCACTTTCTCAGTGCAGGGCTAGCGAGTGGAGGTGCCCTTTCACCATCCGGCTGGTATCAAGCCCTCCTGGGCCACCCCTTTGAAGGAAGGAATGGTCCTTAAAGGAAAGCTGTCCTTAAAGGAAAGCTGCCCTATCACCTTGATTTTTGTCTTCCTAGCAATTTACCTTTTTCAAGTCATTGCATGCGTAGGTGACAATAGGCATTCGCTATCTTTGTTTCTTTTTAAACCATAAATGACATTTTATGGGATATAGTTCACTTCAACCCTGACAGGTTTAGGCTCTTATCACAGGGCTGATATAATTTAAAGAATCAACTTTTCTGTTCTTAGCGTTCGGGGCTACCAATCATTTCAATCTGTAAAATCTGTAAAACCGAAATTAACAGCTATTATGAAACATTAGCCTCCATGTGACAGTCAAACTGCAAACTAAACAGAATATTTTGCTCCCATATTTCACAACTGTAGTCATTTCCCACCAAACTCAAAATAAAATCCAAATCTTTTACAAGGATCCCCAGGCTTTGCGTGTTTTGATGTCCACCTGCCTTCTGACCTTATTCCCTGTCCTCCCTTCTCCTCTGACTTCACCTCAAGTCTCAAGAGCTGAGCACCCCTTGCTACTCCTTGGCCCCCACTTCCCGGTCACAGCCCTTGAGGGGCTGCTCCCTCCACACCCTGCCTGCTGGGCCAGGAATCCTCTCCACGCTGCCTTTTCTCGCAAGCCTTTTCCAACCACTCTTTCTTCCATTTCCCATCGCTTCCTCACCTTTTATCCCCCTTTCCCATCATTCATTGAGAAGCGTATAGCACAGAGTGCATTTTTCTTCTATATGTTGCACATTTCATGTGGGGCTATACGCACATGAAGGTAGAGACTGTTCATTTCTACATTCATAAGATTCATACTGAATGAATCAAAATAATGAATATGCTCATTAGCTCACAGCTCATGCTCTAGGGAAATGCTAAGGAATCTCCAAATATCTGTCAAATTTTTTAAAAAGTGCCCTGAGTCGTGAGTTACATCCCCTTGCTGAAATTTTATTTCCGTATGACAAATTTGGAAAAGCAGAACGGTCCTGGTGGTTTTGGCTTGGCCCCTTCACTCAAGGAGCTCTGGAACAAGATTGTGTAGAAAATGAAATACACATGTTCTCTACACAGCTTAGTAATTTTTTGAGAAATTCTAGGTTAAGAAGGCCATGGTTTTGTTGCTACTAGATTTTCAGTCTTTGCATACTTTGGAGAGTGCAGATTTCTAAACTGTTATAGTATGTGTGTATCCCAAACTTCTTCCATCATAGAAACTTAATGGTATAGCTTCTTGGGGAATCTGTGCTCCTTGGTTCATACTATAGGACTCATTTTGTAGGGCGTTACATTAGAAATGATCACAAAACAACTTATGTAGGTGTTAAAATCTTCAGCATTTTTTATGTCAGTCCAGTGTATGTTTTAGATGTTCTAAAATGGATTATAATAATATTTAGGAAGAACAAGCAAAAATTTACTAAATGAAGATGGGCATGGTGGCACATGCCTGTAATCCCAAGACTTGGGAGGCTGAGACAGGAGGATCACTATGAGCTCCAGGTCAGTCTAGACTACATAGTGAGTTCAAGATCAGCCTAAACTACATAACAAAATCCTGTCTTGTAAAACCAAATGAAAACAAAACAAAACAAAACAAAAAATAAAACAAACTAAAGATGTCTTTATTGTTCCCCTTTTCTATTTCTTCAGTTTCTCCCTCTTCACGGGTTTGTGAAGTCTGTATATCAAATACTAAACCAAAATAAGAACAGGCCCCCTTTAGCTGCCTCCTCCACAGCAGGTCCTGCCCCTTGGTGACCGCTCAGGAGAGCACTTCCCTTAAACTCTGTCCCTAATGCTTCACCCTCTCCAGGGGCTCTGAGCCCTCCACTCTCTGACCTTCCTTGATAGATCCCAGTGGCTCTGTATTGTTAAATGCCGTGTATTCTTTAAACATTCTCCTTCCGTGGTCCCTCAGAACTTTCCAACTTGGATAAGCTCCATTCGGACCACTTCACTGGAATTCGTGATCCCAGATACCTCTGCTCTTTTCCTCTGAAGTTCCCTGTTTATCTCAAGTAACCAGAAAATTTTGAACGTTTTGTTTTTTCTTTCTAAAAAACACCAAAACTTGGCCTTTACTCCCTTACTATTCTCCTCCTAAGCACTTGACTGTTTCCTCCGAAGCGTCCCCTCCCTCAGTGTAAATCACATGCCAGAGGCTGTAGTTGCCAAAATGACCCAGACCTAGCTCTCAGGCCAAAGCAGCCACCGTGAGCGTCAGGTGCACATTCGCAGTTGCTTACGCATGTCCCACAGAGCTTAGAAATGCAGCATTTCCAAAACCCAGCTCTTAGTTCTTCTCCATTGCTACTCGGCCCTTTCTTTCCTAGCGGTTCTTTCTACAAATGAGAATCTCTGTGGCTCCAGTTCTAGCTGTGCTGCCCTTGTGAATGAGCAGATGCTTTGTAATTACTTGTTCAACACCACACTTTACTGCCCAGAGGACAGACCATGTTTCAGTCTCAATTATTGATGAGCGCTCAGTATATTTCCAGGATCCAACCAAATGTCTGCTACATAAGTAATTGCTAAATGAAAAGGTCTGATTTTCAAATGATGATAGATGTCTAGAATTCAGTACACAAATTTTAGTGGGCTAGAACCAAAATAATTATGAAAAATAATAGCTAATAATTATTGGGAAGTTAGATTCCTGGTATATTGCAGTTACATTCCCACTGTAATACTCTGTAGAGTGAATTATTTATGTTTTGCAATTTAATGAGAAAAGTACTGACATTTTGTGATTGAACTAACTAAAATTTAGATACCGTAACTTGTCTAAAAGTAAAGACTAGTGACTGATACACCTCTTGTAATTTTTCCTCTTGGGACCTTCTTTGAATGGTAATCTGTCCAATGACAGCCAGATGGCAATGTAAAATATATAAATCTGTATAAGGAAACAAATCAAAAGCTAGTCAGAACCTGAAAGCTTTGAATAGGGTTCTGACCACCTTGTATTTACTTATGTAGCTATTGGAAAGGCTGAGCAACTCATCTGTTGGTTAATCTGTTACATCAACAGTAAAAATGTAGAGAGTATCCCAGTCTTAAAACCAATCAGTGCAGAATATGATAAAACTCAGAGTTGACATCTGTTGAAAATTTAAGTGTGGGCTACGTAGTGCCAGATGACTGTGTGACTGGAGCACAGGAGAAGGTGTGACAGTTGCTTAGGACTGGTTCACTACATTGAACACGGAGTTGGAATAAGTTGTACTTGTTTTGATTTTGTCATCAACACAATGACAACAATGTATAGAACCTACTGTGGGTCAGATCTTTAGAGCGCTTCACCAACAGACTTCAGGTCTTTAGGGAGGTCTACCTCACTGACTGGGTTGTAGAAGCACTCATATGTTTAAAGACTGGCCACAGGCAAGGTTGAGATTTCCAACCTTCCTGACCCTAAGGCACAGAAGATTACACAAGCAAATTTGAATGTCATTAAGTCATTCTCAAGGGAGTTTGTAATGTGCACCTGTATTAGTCACTCTTATTGCTTGGAAGAAAAAAGCAAATATTTCCAGTTGCTTAAAGCATTTTTTTAAAAGGAAATTTGCACACTAAAGAGCCCTAGAATGGAAGCCAGGAGAAATGGAATTTGCTGTAAGCTTTAACTACTTGGAGGAAACCAACTACTTCTCTTTGGGCTTTATTATCCATCTTTGAACTACGGTGATTATTCTACATTGCCCCCAAAAGGCCAGTTTAGAATTCTATGTTCTTAGAAAAATCCAAAGTCAAAGAATCAAGATGTGTTCTTTACATGTACCAAGTCCCCAGGAGGACCTAATCACTGTGTACTGTAAATGTGGACTGATAAAAACAGAGGACGAAAATTCACAGGACGGAAAAGGCGCGTTTTCCTTCCCATCCTGATGACTTCCTGTGGCCATTCATACTCATTAAATGAAGCCATGGGGGTGGATGGGGGCCAGTGTGTCTTTCTTTCTTATCCTTACTATGCTGTTCCTTCCCATTGTTACCATTCTTAGAACAAGATGTCTGAGAATTACACTGGGATCTGTTCAGTCAGCGTCCCGTGACGGGAGCTCCGAGGGGGACACTGATTGATGATGTCCAATGGATTGTACTCAGGTCCTCTTTGTATGGTCAAGGTCAGCTATTGTTCTCTGGATATTAATATACATTTCACTTACCAGCTGAAACAGTTTCATTTGTTTGCATGTAAATGTCTTAAAACAAGAGGATGTGTAATATGTGAAGTATTTGTATAATACAAAAGAGAAAAAATTATTTAGATAATAACATTACAAACAAATCTATGACCAGTTGAACGTAGTCAGGGTGCAAACATTTTAATTACACACTTTTGAGTTCTTTTCTAAACATCTAAGACTGTAAAATGAACATTTCCTTGTTGCCACAGTCTTTGGAATTAACATTAAACATTAATGATAACTGTGATGTGGTTAAAGTTTTTTAAAGTCTCTATGAAATGCTCATAAACTAACAAATGTAAAGATACTGCAGATTATAGTAAACCCTTCAGACTTAGCAATCATATGTAATACATTTCTTCAGTCTAGCATAGTACTGAATGTTAGGCTTGATCCTTAAGAAAAACCATTAAAATTGAATAAGCTTATAATGCACAATGACAAATAGGAAAAATAAGAAATCTTAAAATGAATAATTAATACTTTAAAATTATCACTTCATGTTCTTAAATTTTTGATATTGATTAGAAATACAAATGTTCATTCCAACAATTGTATGGTGCAAATTCCTATGACTGTCATTATTTCCATACTTACGGCACTTCTGGGGTTCACGTAATCAATCCCCAGCATGGCCATGGCTTTCACAATGGCTAGGATGGACTGCAGTGTATTGCTGTAGACCACCGCTTTGAACTCCAAGCACTCTTGCTCACTGTAACCATTCTTGTGGATGATCCTATGATTTAAACATGAAAGCATTTGCAAGTTGAGCAATCGATAGTGACACTAGAGCACATTAACAGCAAATTACCGAAATACAGCTATAGTGTGTCTTCATTGGAAAAGATAAATTCCAACCCTAAGTATTCGCTAAGTCAGAATAATCTTATGCTTTTGTATTTTATTATCCCTGTCCTGTAATATAATATTTTCTTTTTGGGGAGGGTTACTCATGCTAGATGTTAGAAGACTTAGGATTTGTTCTAGGTTACAATCTTTTTTGAAACTGAGTAAGTAACGAGGATTTTATTTAGAATATGCGTTCCTCTCACAAAGAAAAATTACCAGATTTCTAAGGCAAAGGTACAGGCAGAGGTCTGAAACTTGGTGGTGTGTTTACAACACGACCTGGAGAGGAAGCGGAGTCATTAGCGGCATCTATGTCTTTTCCTATCCTATTAAGACACGTTGGGAAGTAGGAGTGCCTGCGTTCTATTTACAGCATTAACAAAGACTGCTCTTCCTGGAGCAGGTAACTGCCCTCGGCTACACCCTGGCCCCTTGTCCTGTCCTGCGTCTGTGTTCGTGCTCTGGTCCGCACAGCCTCACGCCCCAGTGCTTCCCTTGGCTGGGCTGTTCTTCCTTCCTCTCATTTACCTACAAGTCACGGCCTTGCTGATGGCTTTGGAACAAGAGTGTCCCAGGGCTTCACCTATCCAAAGCGAAAACCTTTGCGCCTACTAATGATGTTCTTTTTGTATCTTTATCATACAGCATAGCTTTCTTCCTTTCTGGTATTATTTTTTGTTTGTTTTTGTGGCACTGGAGACTGATCGTTCTGAACATTGAAGCATATGCAGTAATTTTGCATATGAATTTTCTTATTTTCAAGTTTAAATTATTTCATGTTTGTGCTTTTCCATAGTTTAAATTATTCTTGAAATTTTCAGAAGTATATTTCGGATGTCAGTAGTTAAAATGTCTCAGTTTACTGTATATTTTGAAAAAATCTTTCTATCGCTTTGCTGGAATATGTAATTTTACAAAGAGTGATGAGAAATACTTCTTAATGTCTTACTCTGACTGGTTTATTTTAGAATTATTGATTGCTAATTCACAAGGATGAAAAGTTTTCATTTTAGGTGCAATTTAAATTTTTATTTCATAACGAGAGAAGTTGAATTACATCATCTGTCTTCTGTTGAAGACTCAGTTACTCGAGCTTTGCAGACTCTGTCCAGTCTCTTGTCATGTCCAGTACTGAGCAGCTTGGTTTCCCCTAACTAATTTAGGTCTTAATACAGTATGGCAGCTATCTATGTATCCATCCTATTTATTGTGGGGTCCTACCCCCCAGTGTTTCTCTTTGTTCATTTCACTGTTGTTGTGCCTTAATATATTTAAAAATTTTTGTTTTTATAGGCAAATGCTTGGGCATTTAAAAAAACTACTAAGTTCAAAAACTGGAAGGACACGGTGGAAGAGATAGGTTTAGGTGTGACGATGGCTGGAAGAGAAGGGCTGGGGGCACAGCCGGGACTCACAAATGAATGAGAGGGGACCCAGGATCCAGGGTGACCTGAGGCCTAAGCGATCCTAACCAGGGAGCGGGGAAGCAGGCTCCTGTGCAGACGCTGCGAAGGCGAGCACTGCCGTGCGGATGCGCGGGTCGGGGTGTGAACGGGGACTCAGACACTGACTGATTTGCGATCTACATGGAACTGCAACACGGGGGAAGACACAGTGCTGCTACCACTAGACAGTTTCACCCTGAGCGACAGCATCCCCTGACGTATGTGAAAGAACAAGATACTTTAACACGTGACTTAGAAGTAGCTTCAAGAATGGCTCCTCCTCCTCCTTTTATAGCAATGATTGTCCTTTAAAACTCACTAAGAGTGAGACCCATAAGTTTTCACCCTTTCACTTCTTATCTATCCCCATTTTATTCATTAGATATTGGATTTTTTAATTTATGGAAATTTTGTGCTCATTATTCACCTAGTAAGAAATTCAGGCCTAGTTATTTAACCATACAGAAAATAGGGAAACTAAATGCAAAAAGTACATTGAAATCCCTAATAGTGGTAATTTTGAATACGCATTTCTTTTTCATACGGGCAAAATGACAAGCGATCAGAATATTATTTTTATATTCACTCATAACTGAAACTTTATTATTTCAATATGTAGTTCGATACCGGTACTTTCCTGCCATCTGTGGACAAGGTGAGCCGAGAACGTGACCTGACCGCGAAGCTCTGTTCCCCCGGCCGGCACGCAGCCTGCGAGGGCAGACGCTGAGCAGTCACACTGGGCGAGGTGCGCCAAGGAGCGGCATGAGAAGGAAAGCAGGAAGGAGAGGAGGAAGGCAGGGAGGGAGGTGAACAGCAAGGCCCCGTGAAGATGGTAACAACATAGACACATGGGGACAAAATGCAGGCCCGCTCTTTTTCCTAAAAATAATTTAGATCTTTGCTGAATGACAAGATTCAAAATTATGAAAATCAGATGACCAGCATCCTGTGAATAGCTAATTTGGAAAAAAAATTTATGCTAGGGCAAGAACATTTTGAAAATGGTTATGTAAAATATTTTGTTTTGTGCTATTATGGCTGAAAACATTACGTACATTAAATTATTAATCAAAGTTTTCTTATCTTCACAACTTAACAACTTGCAAATAACCTCCTGACTGATTGAAGAATCTCCAAAACCTTGATACAAGTTATTTAAAAAAATATTCCATAGTGCTTCTCTGGTAGGCTTTAGAAAGCCACTGTAAAAGGAATATAGAACTGGAGCTACAGATGCAGATGATAGAGATGATAGATATAGATAGATAGAGAGAGAGTTAGAGAGAGAGAGAAAACAGAAATTACAATTTTTTTTCACTTTTATGGTTTTTTTGATACAGGAGAGGACTACTTGCCTACCAACCGTGGTAACTCTGTTACTCCCTATGATTTACAAGAGACTACCCATTAGCATTTCCCGAAGCACTTTTTTTTTTTTTGGTTTTTCTCCTGTACTGGGAACCGAACTCACGACCTTGCGCTTGCCAGGCAGGCACTTTTGCCGCTGAGCTAAAACCCCAGCCCCTTGAAGCACTTATTTTAAGAATAGTGGAATACATGGGCAGACATCAAACACAAAACATTTGAAGTAATTCAGCACGTACTTCATTTGCTTGACAATGGTACTTTTTCCAGATTCACCTGCTCCTGTAAGGAAAGGAAGGGAATGTTATTTAATGACTGATCAAGTTTGTATACATATTGAAAGCCTATCACTTTCTCATGCATAAATCATTACCAGACATCTCTTGTGGTGTAGCTTCTAAAGCAAGTTGTGTACACTGTCAAAAAGTGTTACTGCATTTGAGCATAAGTTGAGCATCGAATTATGTCCTGGTTTTGCAGCCCAAGGAAATAGTTCTCATTCTGCATAGTCTCTAAATCACTCACACACTCCCAGGAGTTCTCATCAGATATCCTATTTGAATAAATGATGAGAGAAGAAAAATCTAGGTGTTAAGATTTTACTTCAAGACCTGTTCCAAGCCTATTCCAGGCACTTCTCTCTAGCACCCAGTTTACCTTGGTACACAGGTGAAATCTCTTCTGTTCAAAGGAAAGGAGGTTGCTAGTAACACTAAGCAAAGCTGGGGGTTCTGGGGGTGAGAATGGATGTTTGAACAATGTCTCAAGTGGTCCTGTGCTCCTAAGCTTGCAGGGTGGGAGAGGTGTGGAGGGCAAGAGGGAAGGAACCAGCAGGACTTGCACAAAGAAACACTTCATGTTTTTCTGGAACATCTATTTTAGTCGATGATGTATGATATAAAGTTTGGTTGTAGTATCAAGCTAACTCTGCAAATATCACATAGAGAAATTCATAACACACGTGATTTCAAAGAGAGAAAAAGCGAACCTTTAGTGAAACATGAGTGGTCCATTCAGGCTTCTTTGGAGCCTTTTGAAGAAATTTCTTGCATCTCATTTGCCACTAAGTAGTAGCTCTTTGGGAAGTGAAAACTAAGAAGCTCTAAAATAGAATGTGATAACCTAGGTTTGAGGTTTCTTGCCTGCCCTTTGTGTGTGTGTGTGTGTGTGATATCTTCAAAAAGTCTTTTACCTTCTTAATTTTCTCATCTATAAACTGATTTCTTACCTCCTAAGAACGTTAGAGGATTCTCAGGACATAGTAAGCATTATTATTTACAAACTACAGTGTAAAACATAAAGTAATGTTATCTAAGAATCCAAGGATCTAGAAACTTGGTAGTCTAATAGCTTTTGTAGATACCTGCAGATGTATTTACAAAGTGAACTTAATAAAAGAACATTGATTCATATCACAATGTACCAAAAGTTAATTTGAAATTATTCATAAGCTTAGATATGAAACCTAAAATTATAGAAGTTTTAGAAAAATTCATACATGAAAATTCTTCACAATCTTGAAATCATCAAAAAATTAGATAAGATAGAAATAAATGGACAAAAGTAAAACAGATAGAGAAACTGTCTATCAAACTTAAGAAAAGACAAAGGGATAAGCCACTGTCTGGGAGATAATATTATAACATGCATATCAGCCACAGGACAGGTATCCAATAGAGTGAGTTCCATGGGGTTCAGAAGATTAATTTAAGGCTGTTTTAAATGGTAGGTGTGCATATGAAAAGATCCTAAGAATAACTAGGACTCTGAAGAATGAAAATGAAAGACATTGGTGAAAGTTTTTATTTAATATGGTTGGCAAGCAGCTTGTTCTCTCTAAAACTTGTTGAAATTTGAATCCCATGAGGGATTATTAAGAGAACCAGATGAGATGGTTAAGAGTTGATTAAGGCTCTGCCTCTGTGAATGGTTCAATCCATCCATGCAGTAAATGAGTGAAAAACCAACAGATTCTATTGAGTCTGGTTCTTCCTCCTTACTTGTGTCTCACTAAGTGATGCCTGAACAACCTCGGGTGACACTAGGTGTCACCTGGCTTTTCTTTATAACTTCCCCAACCTTGATATGGTGGCATCCACAACAGGAAGTGGACTAGGACACTTAAACATGCTGGGGGGGAGGGGAGAGAAGGAGTGAATTCAGGCAGCTGGGAATTTGAAATTTGAAAGTTCTGGTTTATCTACAGATGAGAGAATTGCAGGAATTTACTCACAGTGAGTTGTCTATAGGATAAATGAGGTCCAAACACTTTTCCATAAAACATGAATAAATAAAGTTTGCTGAAGAAAACTCAGCATTTTATACTTAATGCAAAATCATATTGCTTAAAATGTGTCCTCAGCCTACAATTTATCAACAAAAACATGATGTTGAGCCATGTGCACCAGAGGGTGACCTAAAATCCCAGTGAGTAGAGTTTTAGTCCTCCAGTACTTATGTCTGTGTCTCCTGGGAGACACAAAAGAGGATTTGGCATGTTATACTCAGCTCTAGAAATCGGATCTCAGGATACCTTCAAAGTCTACATGTGCTGGATAATTTTGATCAGATTTCAAAGTTGCACAACTGAGGCATGTTCAGATTTCTCATTCATACAGCATGGAAGTCCCCTGCCTTCTTTTTCCAAAACTAGCTGATTTTTATGTAAGCAAAAGTGACATGAAGTTTGATAACCCCAACTCTCAAGAACTTTAAGCAAATTATTAAAATGTAGGGAGTTACTGGACTCTGTGGACTCTCATTAGCGATTTATTTCCACTCTCTACCACTCTGTCTTCCTTCCCCTACTCTACTTTCACTTTCCCCCTCACATTTCTCTTTCTCCACTTGCTGTAATTTCTCATGTGTTGTTTTTAATTTTTCCTGTTTGTCTTCCAATGCAGTAAGATAAATTCCCCAACAAGTTTCTTTGTTTTGATCACTGATGTATCCAAAGCCTTTAGATTTGTGGCTACCTCCATAGAATTCCAGTGAAACATTGAATTCTTTAAACTCAAACTGCAAAAGTAAGATTCTTTCCTTTGTACCACGTGCCATTTTTCTCATTTCTGTATAAGTTACAGAAACCTAAGCCATGGTGAAGTGATAAGGCTACACCAAATTTTAATTCTATTCCACAGCAAATTTTTGTTGTTTCTGGCACAGTTAAATGTATCCAGGTTCTGCAGTTGTCTGAAACAGCTGCCTGCCTTATATAATCTTGAGTAATCACAGTGGTGAAGCTATGAGAAATAATGTCTCATTGCTTGGTAATGATACTTAGATTCTTCCCCTTAGCTAAGGGGAATCCTTCCTTTTATAATTTCATGCTAATGTGCTCCGTACCACAGGCAGTAAGATTCACCAACAAGGTTGATGAATGTAACAATCAACCAAAGTACTTTGCTCATAATTCTTCATAGAATTTACTTAACATAACCAAATACAAATTTATAGACTGGGTGTAACTATATCATTTAACAGAGAGTGTTATGCCTGAGAATGGAACATCTAGGAAGAAAATAAAAGCACATTAGGATATCACCTGACCCACTTTGAGAAGACATCTGACTGTCATTCGGCAGGGCATGTAGTTATTTGTGAGAGTGGTGAAACAGAATGATCCTCACACGACATTCCGGTTTGCTGGCTTTAGACAGTCTGCTGTGGAATGTGAACCCTTTGCATGAACTTTATTAGTAACAGTAGGAGAGGGCATAGGGAACTGTGGCATCATCCCAAGCAGATGACAGTTTTGTAGAACATCACAGCCTCACATATGTGTATTTATTTTTACTGACTTGAAAACCAGAGGGTTAAGGGATATGGGAAGAAATTCAGTGGACATATTGGACTTGCCAATAGCAGTCCTGCATGGGTGTACCATTATGTTTTGTCCAATCAGGGTGGAAATAGTGGGAAAAAGCACTGTGGAGAAAATCCGAGACTGAGAACAGAATGTCTCTCTTCTGTGTAGCAACTAAAATTCCTTAAGTAATGCTTTACTTTTTTATGTGATTTTTACAATGTAGTGAAAATTATATAGAACATTTTAAAACAAATATCTTTTTCCAATTTAAAGTGAGAAACAATAAACAATAAAAGCAATGGTACATAATTTCAAAACAAGACTGTAGGAGAGTGACAGTGGTCAGTGCACTGCCTTGTTATCTTCAAAGTAGTTGCCCATATTACAAGATACAGGCATGAAAAATTGATCAAGCACTATAGGAAATACCTACCTTGAGAATGAGAAAGATTTCTAACTTTTTCTTTGCATTATTCTTTTTTAAATTAGTGTGTGATCATGGTACATAATGATTACGTTCATCATGGAGAGTTGGCACATAGCATGTCTTAGTTCTTGTATTATTCCCTTCCTGTCCTCGCCCTTCACCTCCCCCCATACATCCTTCCTTTTCCGAGAGTTCTGTCTCGCTGTTTCCTATCTAGACTTTCGGGGCAGGGCAGCGGGTCGGTAATACATGTGTGTCTACCATTCATGAGACCCTGGATTTGATTCCTAGCACAAGATACACACACACACACACACACACACACACACACACATACACACATACACACAGCAGTTTTCTAGACTGTATGATCAACATATGTCATGGCCAAATACTGTATCAATTAAGAACCACTGTTGGTCACATTAAAAAATCACAAATAGATCCATTTATTCATGCCATGTCTACTATAGACTAGTCAAAATTTATCCTAAATTTGGAGAAAATGTGATTCATAGACCACAAGGGAAAGCTAATGGTCATTCAGAATGGTCTTCTGACCATTGCCCATTCTCCCCCATGCACTAAGTCTTCTCTGAACTACTTACAGTGCCCACTGCACTATGAATGCAACGAGAATAATCATCATATGGCACTGTTTAGGAGAGGATGACATGAACAGAGCCTGTGTGTTTTCAGGAGACATACAACTTTTTGCAGTATTTTCAGTGCTTGGCTCGTTGAAGCCAGAGATGCTGATTGCAGGAATGCTGAGAGCTGGTTGGTCATCACACTGACGACACTGAGGCTGGTGTTTCCAGAGCTATCTCTGAGCCTAGAGTATATGCTACTGAATACCAAACCCTGCAAGTTAGCTAATAATTCATGAAACATCTAAAGAAAGAAAATCGTCAGTCAATTCTAAAGAATAGCTAGTACCTTTCAGTGACACTACATATTTAGAATTAATATTTTCCCTTAGAAGTCTTTGTTAAAGGTGTCTAGACCATCACTGTTCCCACAGAAACATGTGTTCCACATGAATCT